GTTTTTCTGCAAGCGCTACTTCATCCAGATCGCACACACAACTCTGCATCCGGAAGCTGGACGCCTCTTCTAAAAGTCTTCTAAAATTCCTAAGCAGAAATAAAAAAAAGTGACAAATAAGAGATTATAGGGGTCTTTTTTTTCCTCAGAAGCAGGTTAGCTTAATTAAAAGGTCTCTATTTTAATCGCATTGCTGACTAGGACAATTTGTGATTTTTTTTTAAATAGGTGAAATGACTGTAGTTTCAAGGACATTCTTATTCATTTGAAAATTTTAATTTTATTGAGACATGAAACCAACTTTAATATGTAAAAAGATAATTTATATAGCCTGTGGTTACCAAGGCATGCTCAAAGCAAAGGCCTGAAGTAAAATAAAATAATAATGAGTAACCAGAATAATGAATAATTCAATTACATTGTAGTTTTGATAAACTGAAGGGTGCTAGAAAATAAAAAGTGTTTGGAAGTCTCTGACACTCTAAAGTTACTCTTCTTTAGCTGAATCTTTTTTTTCATATATAATAAAATTGTATATTATATTATATTAATTATATTACATTACATTACATTACATTACATTATATTATATTATATTATATTATATTATAGATCACACTTTATTTTAAGGTCCAGTTCTTGCTATTAACAAACCATTAATACTTAATTTGCTGCTTATTAATAGTTAGTAAGGTATTTGTTAAGTTTAGGTATTGTTTATACAGAATATGTGCTTTATAAGTACTAATAAACAGCCAATATGTTATTATTAGGCATGCTAATAAACAACTAGTTAATTGTGAGAATGGTCCCTATACTGAAGTGTTACTATAATATAATATAATAATATAATATAATATAATATAATATAATATAATATATTATATTATTACTAGTGGTCTATGAGGGAAAATACCTACATAAATAAAATTTCCTTCACAAACCGCTTGTTTCAGACACATTATTTGATAGCCTTATATAATGAATATAATGAAGTTATATAAAAAAACATGATTTGTCCCATTAAGTGTTCCTCATTGCGAAAAAAATCTGATGCTTGTATTCATTACTGAGCACCTCAACCATTTCTAATGATTTTATATTCTCTGTTGCCATTTATCTAATTAAAAAAAAACAGATACATTCAGCTACATTTTATTATTTTTTTTTCTGTCTTTGTAAAACGATATGTTTTTTTCTTCGACTACAGGCCAAGCATGATGAATCACTGGGTGAGA